GGAAGGAAAGAAAGAAAGAGGGAGAGAGAGGGAAAGAGGAAGGAAGGAAGGGAAGAAGGAAGGAAGGAAAGAGGGAGGGAGGGAGGGAAGGAAGGAAGGAAAGCAAAGAAAGGGCAACAGAAACGTCTTCCTATCGGAGCTGACCCTGGAGCTCAGGGCCAAGTCTGGGTAGCTGAAAGCAAGGTGGCTTTTGTGTTGAAGCCAGGGAGCGCCTGCTTAGGATCAGAGCGTGAAGTCTGCCTTCGCCTTGTGATTTGTAAGCAGGAGAGCTGCAAGAGAGAAGCAGCCAGCCCCTACCTTTCACAGGGATGGCGCAGACATCCTTGGATGGCGCAGTATGAATGAACATTAATGACTAAGGACGGGCCTTGCTGAGAAATTGTCACCCCGGCATTAGGCACGAAGACTCCCCAGGGCTAACACACCGCATGTGACGTGAAAACCTATTGCCATTAAGCAGTGTGGGTAACAAAAGAACCCCAGCGAGAGCAGGATGAAATAGCGGATTTCGGTGCTGATGCAGGAGATTAAACAGCCTGAGAATGGCTTTGTATATTAACTTCTGGGAACTCAGATCTTGCCACCTAAAGCGTGACACCTGAGGCCTCAATTGTAGGGTAATAAATCTTCCATAAACCACAGATCTCAAGTAGGCTGCCTGCAAGGTGAGAGAAATCACATCAAGCCCCATAAATGTCCTTTCTGGGGACTGAAATGCCATCTCCAGGCACTCGGGTTTGGGTGAATGGCGGATTTAACACTTGAGACAATTGAAGTTTCATCAAATGATGAGTCCTTGCCCTGTTGACAAAGCCCCCTGTGAGGGCCATTGTGAACACAATTGTTGGGCAGCAGAGGTAAGGACACAGCGGAAATCAAGTGCTAACCGAGGACTTCGGGATTTGTTTCTTCTTTCTTTGGTGAGGAAGAGGAGAGGAAAGGAGGAAGATCAGTCAGCAGAAAAAGTGTCTTGTCACTTTTTCTGCCAAGAGTTAATGGTGGGACTGAGGGGGATGACCTTGTCAGCACTGATCACGGTCGCAGATTATAGCAAAGGGCACACTCGCTTGACCTTCCTGCTCAGTAACAGCAGCCAGGCAGACAGCAATTTCTTCCCCCTTTCCTCCAAAGGGGGAGGCTTCAGGCCTAACTCAATATACTGCATGGAACAAAGAACCTTTTCTTACCTCAAGATAGACAAGTTTTGTTGTTGTTGCTTTGCTTTGTTGGCTTGTTTTTGTTTTTGAGGGGGGACTATTTTGGCAGGAGTGGAGTGTGAACTTGATAGGGTCTCAGCTTTTTGCCTGGCCCAGCCCCGCCCGTGATCCTCTTCTCTAACCCTCCAGTGTGGCTGTGCTCCCAGGTGGGCCCATCATGCCCACTTGTTGATCAGGATAGGATCTCATTAACCTTTCCCAGGCTGGCCTCAAACCCTGATCCTCTCTATATCTACTCTCTAAATAGCTGAGATTACCTACCGATGGGCACCACGGTTCCCAGACAAGAAAGATTTTTTTTTCTTTTTTTCAGAGCAAAGTAAAAAAATAAAAGTTGAGCAAAACTAATCTTGGCACAGCCTCCGTAGCCCCAGAAAATCCAAATTCCAGAGAGAACATAGTCTACCTTTCAAATTAGAATGATGCTTTACTTAAAAGTCTGAAACAAGGAATACTAAACCATTTCTGTTTTAATTTCAACACCCCCAACCTTATTATAATGCAGTTTCATTAGAAATAGAATAGCACTTCCCATTATGTAGGAATACAATGCAGCTTGGGGATCACATCAGAAAAAAGCAAAATAAAAGCTGATACTTTTTCCTTCATAACAAGGTGAAACAAACATACTCTTCCAGGTATTTTTCTCTCCAGTGATCTAGCTAATTGTTGCATTTTTCAATTAATGTTGCATAGATACTGGATGTAGGAAGGTTTTAGCTTTATTTATTTTTTTGTAATCTGTGAGCTTAGAAAAGGAGAAATACCTTGCCATTATTGATGCATATGTCACTGTTTTCAGTAAGCACTTAATCATTCTTTCCAAAAGCCTCTTAACTCAGCCAGGTTTTCACAAAGTAATGAGTGTGCTTTTTCCTTGGAAAATATTCCTAAATGGCTCTAGCACAAGATAGTTACATCGTGTATCTATTATACAGGGAGTACATCTTGTTGTTACTAGACTCTGAAAAGCATAAAGACTGCTCTGAAATTGAAATCTTCCCCCCCCCCCCACCTTTTGATTGCCTTCAGTCCAGGCTGTATTAAGGAGCAGAAGGAAAACAGCCCTTTGGTTTTGTGATGTCTATCACAGCTCTGGCTCTCTCAGGATCTGCTGAATAAAATCTAATTTGTTTCATCTGGTGAAGAGGTCATCCCTAGCTTCTAACCTGTATGAGCAGGAAGAGCTGGTGCTCTGAACTGTATTTCATATTAAACTTGTACTTGGTTGGGAAAGCAATTCATCAATGTTTTCTGGTTAGGGTTTTGTTGTTGTTTTTTTTTAATAGCAATTTAGTTAAAGTAAGATTGTGTGCTCTGAGGTAGATCTTTGGTCCCTTTTCCTGTGTACTACCTTGGAGGTGAAGCTGGCCTCTGCCCCACCTGCCGTGTGGGGCCGCTTCCCCTTCCAGACTGTAAAAAGGTTTGTCTTTAACACAAAGCAAGTTGGAGCTCGCCACCTCTTTCTAAGCTCACAATCTAAAGCCTTTCACCCAGACTTCCCCCAGGTGTCTGGAGTGAGGAAAGGCCTCCCTGGCATTCCAGTCCTTGATCACCTTTCTAGCTTCAACTCACAGTTGAAAATAAAGAAAACACTAATGTATAACCATCATATCTTTTCAGGATTACCAGGAACGCTGGTCTCAGCAGTCCAGCAGCGTCCCAAGAGGTCAGTCCTCTGAAACAACCGAGGGACAACAGCCCTGGCGAAGGCCAGCTAGACCCAAGGTTCGCAAGGAGCACAAACGCCAGGGCCTCCTGCCTCCTTTCAGGGAAGAGGAGCTCAGAGTCAGTCACGGAAGCCAGAGCGCCCCCTGGCAGCAGCAACACCCAGACAGCGACCTGCCAGACAGGCGGGCACCTAGGGGCCAGAGCCCCAGAGCCACTTCCAACGTCTTTGTCCCACCAAGTCAGGCTTTTGACAAGGTGTTACATAAAAACTCTACTGGCGATCACTCCATGCTGAACCTTAATAGAGAAAGAGGACTCAGACATGAGGAAAAGAAAAGATTTTCCTACCAACAGCTACCCAGCTACACTCTTGCTGCTATGGATCTGAACAACCTGAGTGAACTGTCTAAGAGACACGGGCCCCTAAGCCAGAAAGGGCCTTCAGCCGTTCATGACACGAACGTCCACAGGCCAACAAAGCATAAGAAAGCACCCAAACAGCCTTCTCCAGAGATGAAATATAAGAACTTAGAAATGTTATGGTAAGAATTCCTTTTGCTCAGCTAGTTTTCCCGAGAAGACAGGAGAGGGAGAAGGAAATGGAGGAGACACTGGGTATGGTCAGCTGCAAGGGAAAATCCAATGTAAGGCTCTCATCTGACTAACGTAGACCACTCTTAATGTGTTTCTTTTCTTCTTCCCTGTCCTCTCTCCTTTTCCTGCTGTAGTTAAACTAGCAATCAGAGGGAGAGAAGGACATGGAATCCAATGTGCTGCAAGGATGTAATGAATGGAGAGAACCAATTATCTCCAACACTGTCACGGCCTAGCCTAAGAAAATAACCTAAAGTATAGAAGAAATGCGTACATAAAAAGAGTCATTTCCAGACAGGACCTAGAAATCTAACAGTGGGGAAAGGTCTGGGTAAATTACGATATTTAATGTCGTATAACCACTACAAATTATGATAACAAGAAAGAGTGTCTATAAAAAGAAACCAGTAAGGTGCAAGATTCTGTTCAACAATTATGAGCTCTGCTAAGATACCAATCATGTCATCTGGCCAGGGAGAGTGAGGTGATTGTAATTCCTCCTCTCTAGTTTCTAAATTATCCAGGAGACCTGCATTGTAGACATATTGCCTCTACCTTTATAGACAGGGAAAAGGAAGTTATTTTTAAAACCACTTCTGGGAGCTGGGAAGGTGGTTCAGTGGTAGAGCGCTTGCCTTGCATGCATGAGGCCCTGGGTTCGATTCCTCAGCACCTCATAAGCAAAAAGAAAAAAGCCGTAAGTGGCGCTGCGGCTCAAGTGGTAGAGCGCTAGCCTTGAGCTGAAGAGCTGAGGGACAGCGCCCAGGCCCAGAGTTAGTTCAGGCCCCACGACCAGACCCAAAAAATAATAATAATTAAAAAAAAATAAAACCACTTCCGGGGACCTTTGCGAAAGGCTTGTGTTTTCCTGGCTGTCACCAACTTTGTCTGGATGTTATACAGGCCTACATCCACCCTGGGAAGTGAGTTGAGGACTGCTCTCTTTTTACATCCTCTGGGGCACTTCATAGACAGCTGCAGTTCAATCTTACTTAAAGTTCAGTAGAAAACCAGGCGCTGGTGGCTCACACCTGTGGTCCTAGTTACTGGAGAGGTTGAGATATGGAGGATCTCAATTTGAGGCCAGTGCAGGCAGCAAAAATTGACTCAATTCCATCTCCAAAATAACCAGAGAATCACTAGGATTTGCTCTAATAATTCTAAGTCTTCCCAGTCTGTTTTTCGTCAGTCTGATAAATTATACTTATTAGGAAAGAAATTAACATTTTGCTAAGTTTTAAAATGTACTGTCATAAAACTTTTCACAGTATCTACATATACTTTTGTATTATTCAAGTTCTGTAATCATGCTTTCATTTTTAATATTGTATATGCTATCTTTCTTGTTTTTAATTTATTTTTTTCAATTAAGGTGTTGGTATATATATATATGTGTATATATATATATATATATATATATATATATATCCCACAAGCCTTGATTATGAATAATAATCTGTTGGCATAAGGATTCTGAGTAGGGGGTTGGAGGCATGGCTCAGTTGGTAGAGCACCATCCAGTGAGCGAAAGGGCCAGGTACTAAATTCAAATTCCAGTTTCCAACCTAAAAATAAAAGGAATTCTGGGTAGCAACAACCTCTTTTTTGGCATTTTTACACTTTTCTGTATTTGTTATGATTCTTGGTTATATTGGTCTGCTGCAGTATTTTGCTGCATCAGTGTTAGCTATTTTATTGACTTCCTATTCTAGGAAGATGAGAATTTACCTCCTCTCCCTCACCGTCACCGCAGCCGTTAACCCTCCAAAAGTCATAGGTAGGTTTCCATTGAAAAAAAGAACAATACTCAGTAACTTTTATGATCATGTCAATGCAACCATAATTCATACTCTAGCATTGAAGACTATAGCTGTGCTTTATGATTATTTCCCAAAAGTTTAGATTGCCTTGCTATTTTTTTTTTCTTTTTGTACTTGTGGCTATTTTTACCCCATATTTCCCAGTGGCCTCTGAGTACAGCATTTCACCAGGACAAAAACCCCAGGCTCTTCTTTCTTAGGAAGACCTTCCGTGTCTTCCTCTTGCTAGACCCACTCCACAGCCGGTCTGAGGACTCCCTTCTCCAGACACTCACACTTCGTCTTGTTGGAGCGCAGCCTCTGATACCTCCTCAGACTGGAAGCAAGGCATAATGGCAGAGGTGGGGCAGCAGGCGGTCCTCAACCTGCTGTGCTCCTGCTCGTGGTTGCCCGGGGTTGACCTTCATTCCACCATGGAAGTTCCCTTCTCCGCCCCACCTCCCCTCCACCCCGTATCCCCTCTCTCATCTTGGTAGAGAACATCCCACCAACAGGAGGAAGATTGTTTTGAGACACTGCATGACTGGACGTGGCCCCTGACTGACAGCTGACCAACTATTGCCGAATTCTAGCCTGGAAATCTTTTCCCTCCGACTTCTATCCTTGCTATCCTTCTATCCTTGTTAAGAGGTCAGAGGCTTCCTCTTTCTGCATCCTTTGTACAAGGCCCTTTTTTGTTTCTGAAGCTGTAGGGTCTTTTCTTTTTCTCCAACAAAATGAGGAGATACCACAATGTGCTTTCGTGTGGGTCTGTTTTCGTAGGTTGTGCTGAGCCTTTTAACCTGGGAATATGCGCCCTTCATTTCTGGGAAACTGTCTTGAATCGTCTCCTGGCTTCTGGCTTCCAGCCATCTTGTCTGTCTGCCCTTCCTTAAACCTCCTGTTATTCACATGTGTTCTTTCTTCTTATGATTTTTTCTCTCTTGTTCTTTATTCCTTTGTGATTTTGTCCTACTTTCTGTGAGATTTTGTATCCAACCTTTCCACTGCTCTTTTTTTACATTTATTTCCAAGAGCATTTTTTTTTTTGCTTCTGTGATTTTTCTGAATGTTCCTTTTGCCATGGATGTGACATCATTTCTTCTAAGCATCTTACATCTCTGTAAGTGAGAATGGAGAGTCAGGGCCATGGTGCATGGTTAAGTATCTTTGATTTCCTATTTAGGTTCTCTTTCCTCAAGTTATTGGTGGTGGTGGTGTGTTCAGTTTCCCTTCACTTGCTTTCCTATTTCCTCTGTGAGGCTGGTCTCACCCATCTGGCACTTGAGTTCCTGTTCGTAATTACCTGGGAGGGACTGGCCATCTCACTGGGTGCTGAGAGACAAGCTTTGTTGAAGTTCAGTTTGTGTAGGAAGTGCCTCTTGTCTGTTCGGGATCATCTTCTCCATGTGGTCCGATGATTTCTATACCTTCCCTAGGATACAAGTCCCCAGGGTACTGTGGAGGTGGAGAAGAGACACGTACCTCATGGTACAAAATGGGGAAGAAAATAGGTAGATTTCCCCACTTCCCAAACAGATTTTCAACCGCTTTTCAACTAACATAGATGTCCCCTTTCAGACAGGAATCCATTCTGCCTGCTCACCCCACAAGTACCCATTAGAGTTCACTGGCATTTTCTCGTGTTTGTTTTGTTAAGCAGTGTTTCACTTGTCATCTTGAAAACAATTTGGGGTATATTACTCCTCTCTGTTTTTCTCTTCTATTTCATCAATCTGTGTATTTGTGTTGCTGTCTGGAAGCTTCACTATAAGATATGCAGGCATGATATTTTCAGTTCTACTTGACACTCCTCTGTGATTCCTAGATCCCGACTGTTACAAGTTCAGAAAAATTGGCATTTGCTTTTCCCATTGGATAGTATGCTTGCTTCTTTCTCATGGCTACAGATCCTCATCCAGGTCATTTTAACCTTAATTTCTTGGTTGGATTTCCATGATTGTATGGAAATTCAGAGCAAAGACCAAGTTAGACTTGTTCTGCTGTTGCTAGAAGCCAGTGAATGCATTTTCTTAATCCATTATTATACTGAGGATTTGCCCTTGAAGTGTGGTCATCCTCATCCGTGGATCTCAGTCAGATCCCCTGCCAGGTAAAGCCACGGTCTCCCATGTCCTGGGCCAGCGTTAACTTAAACCTCACAGTCTTAGAGCCAGACTTCCCCCAAGGAAAGTCATAGCTGCAGCTAAAACAAAAGCCGCTTTGGCTTTAGTTCCATGTTGATTTTCATCCCTAGAGATTTTTTGCTTCTCTTAAGAATTTAGCTATATATTTGGCTATAATTAAAAGCAACATTTGAAGCCAGGCGCTGGTGGCTCATGCCTATAATCCTCGCTACTCAGGAGGCTGAGATCTGAGGATTGTGGTTCAAAACCAGCCCAGGCAGGTGGAAGTAGAGCTATGGCAGAAGTGGTAGAGCACTAGCCATGAGCAACAAAGCTCAGGGACAGCATCCAGGCTCTTGAGTTCAAGCCCCAGCCCCAGCACCAAAAAAAAACAAAAAACAAAAAACAAAACCATTCTCAGATGTTTGGATTTTCTAAATGGTGTTTCCCTGTTCTGGATGCACTAAGTTAAAGTTGCAAAGAAGAATAATTAGAATGTCCTAAGGAAGAAAAAGAAGATTTGAAGATAGGAGAAGTTTATGCTGAAGGCCATTCACTTGATTTGGGAACTGATTCGTCATTATTTGTATGCTAGAAGTCTTGTTTGTGTAAGTTTTATTGACGCATTTGGTTTCCCCCCCAGGAAGTTCCACTCTTCCGCGGAGAGTGAACCTAACAGAGCCTCCCCGGACTCCCGGCTCACACACATCATGGATCAGCACCAGCAGGCCCTGGTGCAGCTGGCCGAGGTGCAGCCCCGCAAGGGGTCCCTACCCAGCCTCCTCACCTTCCCTCCCATCCTACCCAGGGTGGAGAGCGAATCCCAGCTCAGCTCAAAGCGAAGCCCCAGGCACCAGATGATGAAACTCAACCGTAGCAATTCAGAAGGCTATCTGTCTCAGCTGGAGAGGGCGGGGAAGCCCAGGAAAAGGAACAGCATTAAGGTAATACACGCGTCATGTTCTGTCAGCTCACATTCTTGCTTTGGCAAGACAGACGGACCTGCATCCCCCACCCCTTGTGAGTCAGAGCCCAGGGATAGGAGCACTGGTTACCAAGCCCTTGTGATTCAGCTGCCACCGCTGCGTGCCCTGGGAGCCCAGGAATGCCCACTGCTACATCTTTCTAGCTGTAGTTGCTGCCATTTGCTTTCCAAGTCGTCTGGGGAAGGGAGTGCCAGTGTGGAGAGTAGATGATAATTCTCCTCCATCCCCAGCTGGGGCATCATCGCTTCCTGGGAGAGGCTTGCCCACACAGTCCCCTCCTCCCCCACGTTAAGCTGGGCCTCCACACCCATTGTCCTGTCCAGAAGAGAAGAACATAGGGTTGAGTCTCTCAAAGCCCTGTTGCTGCTCGTCCTCACCACCCACCAGGGGCTCCTCAGAACTGAAACAGCCCCTTGGTGCTCACCTCAGCTCCTGTAGCCAAATACCCAGGCTGGCCAGCAGCTGAACTTTCCCCAGCAGTTGTGCCAGTCTATACTGAGCTCCTTATCTGTAGTAAGATTTGCCCTCACTGGACCTTTGTGCACCACCTTCTATGTCCTGTGTGTTTCTCCACTATTAAAAAGCAATAAAAAAAAAACTCCTTAGGAGGGCTGGGAAGATAGCTCAGTGGTAGCATGCTTGTCTTGCATGCATGAAGTCCTGGGTTCAATTCCTCAGTACCACATAAGCAGGAAGTGGCATTGTGTAGCTCAAGTGGTAGAGCACTAGCCTTGAGCTGAAGAGCTGAGGGACAGCACCCAGGCCCAGAGTTCAGGCCCCACAACTGACCAAAAAAAAAAAAAAACTCCTTAGGAAAGATCTCTTGCTTCTAGTGCCAAACTTTTTTTTTTAATTAGTGTAATGAAATACTCATAGCAGACAACTTTACAAAGAAGAAAAGAGGTTTTTTTAATTTTTTAACTTAGTTAATATGCATCATTGTTTTTTGTTTGTTTTTTGAGATGTTTTTGCCTTTTCTTTTCTGGCACTGGGGATTGAACCCAGGATGTTGCGCTTGCTAGGCAAGTGCTTTGCCACTGAGTGACATCCTAGTCCATATACATTCATTGTACAAAGATGTTTCCTTATGGTATCTCCATAAACATATATAATATACTTTGGTCAAATTCCTCCCTCTGTTAGTCCTTCTTGTCCTCCTTACCCTTTGAGATCAATGTGGCTCAAAATTCTAAACATTCAAGAGCATGTGGGCGTCGGTGGCTCATGCCTATAATCCTTGCTACTCAAGAGACTAAGATCTAAGGATCCTGGCTCAAAGCCAGCCCAAACAGAGAGCCCATAAGTCTCTTATCTCCAATGAACCACCAGAAAACTGGAAGTAGAGCTGTGGCTCACAGTGGTAGAGGGCTAGACTTACGTGAAGGGTTGAGGGACAGTGCCCCACAACAGGCCAAAACTAACCAAAACAATCATCAAATGGTCTTTACTCCTCTGGCCTTCACAATTAAGTCTTGCTTCTCTGAATGAAAAACAAGCTTCTCTAAGATTGTCCCACCTTCCTCTCTACCACATGTCTGCACACCCTGTGCCTCCCTGGTCTAGTCCTGGCACTGTGAGGAGCTGTTTCATTGCTAGCATGTGCTGTAGCGGTCCTCCTGAGGCTCAGCTCCATCGGTGCCCACCCACAGTGCTCCCGCAGCCCATCAGACCTCCACTGTCCTGTGCACACACACTCAGAAGAGAGCTTTGCTGCATGGTTCTGACCAACTCTGGACCTCTGTTAAACATTCGGACTTTCTGGGCTGGGAAGGTGGCTCAGGGGTAGAGTGCTTGCCTAGCATGCATGAAGCCCTGGGTTCGATTTCTCAGTACCACATACACAGAAAAAGCCCGAAGTGGCACTGTGTGGCTCAAGTGGTAGAGTGCTAACCTTGAGCAAAAGAAGCTCAGGGACAGGGCCCAGGCCTGAGTTCAGGTCCCAGGACTGGAAAAACAAAACAAAAAAACCAAACAAACAAAAGCAACATTCAGCCTTGAAGCGGAGCGGCCCGTCTGCAGGGCTCAGCCGCTCATTCCTGCGCGCCGACCTCAGCCAGCGCCTGCCGGCTCTGTGACTTGGGCAAGAATGGGTGAACCATCAGAATTACGCTCTTTGGAGACTCAGTATGATAGTAAATGAAATAATGCATTAAAACTTTAGCTTATTCCCTATAAATTGTTATTTTCCTTTTCCTTCTTCCTTCTCTTACTAATTTGAATTCCTGTCTTACTGAGAAAAGATAGAGGAAAATGCATTACCAAGGCCCAAAGTTATGGGAAAGTGAGGAAGAGGAGGGAGAGCTTCAGGCCCCTGCTTCCCAACTGGGAAAGTCCCTCCCCTGCTGCCTTCCTGTCAGGACCGTTCCAATCCAGTCCACCTCCCACAAACACGCAGAGGCGCTCTGTCCAGAAGCTAAAGTGACTGAGAGCTGCGCTGTTTGCAGAGCACCGTGGGTTCAAATCCTGCAGTCTCCTGAACCATATTTTTAAAAGAAAAAAAATTGAGCCAGGCATCAGTGGCTCACGCCTGTAACAATAGTTACTCAGGAGGCTGAGATATGAGGATCGATGTTCAAAGCCAGCCCAGGCAGGAAAGTCCGTGAGACTCTTTTTTTTGTTCCAGTTGTGGGGCCTGAATTCTGGGCCTGGGCGCTGTCCCTCAGCTCTTCAGCTCAAGGCTAGCGCTCTACCACTTGAGCCACAGTGCCACTTCCGGCTTTTTTCTTTTTGCTTATGTGTATTTGGTGCTGAGGAATCGAACCCAGGGCCTCAGGCATGCAAGGCAAGTGCTCTACCACTGAGCCACCTTCCCAGCCCTGTCCATGAGACTGTTATCTCCAATTAATCACAGAAAGATCTGGAAGTGGTGCTGTGGCTCAAGTGGTAGAGTGCTTAGACTTGAGCTAAAGAAGCTTAGGGACAGTGCCCAGGCCCAGAGTTAAAGCTCCATGACTCAGCTCCAGGACTGGCAAAAAGAAAAAAAGAGGAAGAAAGAGAGAAAGAGAGGAAGGAAGGAAGGAAGGAAGGAAGCAAGGAAGGAAGGAAAAAAATGAGGATGTGTGAAAGAGAATAGTCCTCGGCCCTTTCCTCATCTGACCAGTTCAGGAATACTGGGCATTGTCCAGCCATTAAATCAGACGGGGGCGTGGAGCAGTGGAAAGCCCACACACTTGTGATGTCCGCTCCCCACACGTGACCAGAGCGCAGTCATTAAGTGGTGTGTTTGCGAGGCTAGCGGGAGGCAGGTTTCCTTCACTCGCTGTTCTGCAACGTGTGAAGGGCTGCTTCCTGTTCTTCAGTAACTTTCTCACACTTACCGCATCTGAGGACTGTTCTGGAACATCTCTGAGCACGCCCCACACCCCAGTTCAGCCCTGCCCTGCACTTGAGATGAGCGCTTTGCAGAGCAGTCAGTGTCCTCTCCATCCAGGCACGCTGTGTTCCAAGTTGACAGCACAAATGGGCTGTGTGGCTTGAGAAGGATCGTGCTTAATTACTGATGGAAACCTGCTGTCCGCAGTCCTTTGCCACGGCCTGCTGAGCCAGCGGAGGGGCCTGGCAGCACCGGGCTGGGTAGATGGCAGTGGACGAGTGGCTAATGTAAGACCAGCAGAGATGCAGGGCCCCGGAATGGGGACAGGGAGGCGGGCGGGGAGGCGGGGCTTGGGCAAGGGCATGCTTGTATTTTCTAATTCATTTTCCTTGATCTCAGAGGCATAATAGGAAGATCACTGTTGGTTTATGATTGTTGTTATTACTATTACATTTTTTACATTGTGGTACTACAACCTTTTAGTCTGGTAATAAGAACCAAAGGAAGGTAGACCAAAGTCGATTGCGGGGATTACTCTACTAGAAAGGACTTTGGAAGAGTGAGAAAGTGGATTAGTGGTTGCCTGGAGCTGGGAGCTGGGGGAGGTTGGAGCGTCTATTTGCAGGGTGATAAATTGGATCATGGTAATGTTTACACACTCTGAATATCCAAAAGGACCAAAAGACATTAAATGATACAACCTCAAGTAGGTGAGTTTGGCATATGTGAATGATAAATAACTTGGTAATGCAGTAATAATGCTGTCTTTAAAAAGACTCCAGATGGAGAGACCTCCGACAGAATGGCAGGGCTGAGGAGCAGCACACAATGACGTGAGCCAACCTTGAGCCGGTTCAGATTTTCATCTCCAGTCACCCAGAACAAACTCCGTTAGGAGCTAGGGCTATTCCTGGAGAAATGTGGCTTTGCCGGAAGCAGCTTCTCCCGAGAAGAGCCTTCCGGAGCTGGCCTTCGGGCCGCAAGCTCTCTCTTCACTCTGAGATGCTAGGCCCTTCACTCTAGTTTTTTTTCTGTGCTGACCAAGGTGTTTATTTGAGGCAATTGTGAGAACTGTGGCCAGAGACCAATGAGCAATTATTCATGTCTTTTGTGAGTCAGTGGGATGATGAGAAGTTAAGCTGCTTCAGGCTAAGGATGAGATTTCTGGGCGCTGATCATTTCTTTCTCATCATCTTTGGCAAATTGGATTTATGACTTAGATATGAGTAAGGCTTGATTTTTTATCCCTTCCTTTTCATTATTGATTTATGCTGGCAAACAGACTATAATTTGGTGATTGTGAGACAAAAACAAATTTGTTTTTGCAAGTTGTCTGAGTTCACTCACCTATTCAAAATGATTGCAAGTTTTTAAATGTGATGAGAGCCAGTGCGCCCCATCGCTAGGAGAAAGGCTGACTGAGGACCTTTGTTCTCAGTAGCTGGTACATGAAGAAATCAGCGGAGCAACTCACAAATAATGCTTATCCCAGAGCATCTTGAGCATTCCACATTTAGAGAAATAGCTAGAAGTTGAACTATAACTAGATAATACAACACCGGGCTCTAAGAAAGTCACAATTCTAATATTTGTATTGAAATGAACCCCAAGAATGGACCCAAGAGTTCTCTCTTTTGTAGCTGTTGTTGGTTCTGTTTTCTTTTCTCTCTGCGGGGTTCACTCCTGCATCTGTCTTTGGGAGGGAAAAGCTGGGCACAGAACTCAAGAAGAAAAGGGTGAAAAAGTGAAGCAGTGGCACTCACTAGACACTGATGAACGCGAACTTCACAACTCGTGAGTGGAGACGGGAGGGTGAGGGAGGGAGAGACACTTAGACTGATCACCTGACTCACATCGCTGTAATCCCTCTGTACGTCACCTTTATAATAATAAAATAATTGTTTTACAATCACATTAAAAAAACAGTTATAAGAGAAGAGGATGTAATGTTAAAACGTTTATTGAAAAAATAAAGTAACTTGGATGGATAATTTTTACAAAAGTATGAACAGCCTGACAGAAGAGACCGGAAGCCACTGCTATGGTGGCTTTGCTTGGTGCTGACTTCTGGGTTTTTCTTTTAAAAGAGACGTATGGTTTTGAAATGTCCTTCATGGGCACTGTTGCGTCTACCTTAGGGTTATTATTTGTGATTTTAGTCTAAAGGTTGCCTTTAGACCAGATGCCCTGAAGAGGTTTTTTTGTTTGTTTTTGTTTTTTGGGGGGTGGTCTGGTCATGGGGCCTGAACTCTGGGCCTGGGCGCTGTCCCTCAGCTCTTCAGCTCAAGGCTAGCGCTCTACCACTTGAGCCACAGTGCCACTTCCAGCTTTTTTCTTTTTGCTTATGTGGTGCTGGGGAATTGAACCCAGGGCCTCAAGCATGCAAGGCAAGCGCTCTACCACTGAGCCACCTTCCCAGCCCCGCCCTGGAGAGTTTTGACCCTAGGTGTTCAGCTTTGTAATGTAGCCGGTTCCAGGGACAGAATGGTTCATCCTCGTGGTGTGTGATGCCACGCCTGTGGCCCTCTTGAATTAGGACACTGAGACAGAGGTGTTAGAAGCATTGCCTTCCACGGCAAGAAGCACAGACCAGCGGCGTCAAACATCCAATGAAGCCACACGCGCGCAGGTGGCGCTTGGCCAGGCTGGGCCTCCCGCAGCTCTGTGCATCAGTGACCTGCTCCTCTCACTCTGCCAGCTGCACCTTGGCTGCTGCTGCTGTATGAGTCAATCTACTTTCCAGAAAGGGAAAAAGGGAAAGGGAGAACCCATGCTGGTTGAATGAAGACACATCCTCTGCTCGGCAAACCTTCAGTTACCCCAACCGGGCTGGAGCTCCCGGCCACAAGTCTGGAAGTCCTCCCTCAACAACCCCAGCTTCGGCACCCACAGATTTAACCAACATGGGTCCAACAATATTCTAAAGATACTACTTCTAAGTCAGGCAGCAGTGGCTCACGCCTGTAACCCTAGCCACTGAGGAGGCTTGAGATCCTGAGGATCATAATTCAAAGCCTCTTTTTACCAAAAGAACTAGCAAAAAGCATGGCTCATGTGGTAGAGCACCAGTCAAGCAAGCAGAAGACTCTGAGTTCTAATCTCAGTACTGCCACAAAAAAATCATTTACTACATCTGTACTGAACATGCACAGACTTTTATTTTTGTTCTTGTCATCATTCTCTGAAGAATCTCAAAAACTATTTCCATAGCATTCCTGTTGGATTAGGTATTCTAAACAATAGGGCGATTTAAGGCATAAAAAGTGATGTGTAACCTATCGGCAAATGCAACTGCAGATTTTGTTATCTTCAGGGTGTCCTGGAACCCTGATGTCCGTGGACAACAGGGACCCGTGATTTTGACTTCTGAGCCTCTATCTGGGGAGCCATCCGTGTCCTGTGAGCAGGACACACCGTGGTTGTGGTTGGTACAGAAGGCAGGTGTAAGTGCATTCTTAAGCTTGTAAGAGCTTTACTCAAGAGTTATGGTTAAAGCCGGGCGCTGGTGGCTCATGCCTGTAATCCTAGCTACTCAGGAGGCTGAGATCTGAGGATCGCGGTTCAAAGCCAGCCCAGGCAAGAGAGACCGTGAGACTCCTATCTCCAATAAACCACCAGAAAACCGGAAGTGGCGCTGTAGCTCAAGTGGTAGAGTGCTCGCCTTGAGCTGAA